TACGTTTTTTCACCCTTTATTTTTAAGCTGCCCCTGGGATAATTCCACAAGTAAGACACATGTTGTCCGAGACTATCAGTGGAAATGGCAACACCGAAATGGAACTAGAACCCTTTTTAACAGGTTCTGGTCCAGATCTAATAAAACAGATCTGGGATGTGATTGCAAGTGGAAACCTCATGTAGGAGCTTGGAAATGTAAATATTGTGATTCTTATGGCGAGGCAACTATTGTTGCCTAGTGGTGGACCACTAGGCCCTGGAAGCAAGCTGTATTTTGACCCACCAGTTGATGATGAAAATTGGAAAGGTCCCTTCGCTAATGGGACCTGGGCTCTAAAGGGGCATTACTGGATTTGTGGCCAAAATGCTTACCGCAGGCTACCCCCAAACTGGTCAGGAATATGTTATGTGGGGTATATTAGACCATTGTTCTTTCTGCTACCACAAGTTCAAGGAAATCAGTTAGGAATCAAAGTATATGATGATCTAATTAGAGAGAAGCGGTCTATTGATACATCCCTGGTTGGAAGGAGCACCCAAAAGTGGGGAAAAGATGAATGGCCACCTGAACGAATCATACAACACTATGGACCAGCTACCTGGAACCCAAATGAATTAATATCAGGTGCCAGAGAACCCATTTATAATCTAAATCGGATAATTAGGTTGCAAGCTGTCTTTGAAATAATAGTCAATCAGACAGCTACAGCTCTTGACCTTCTTGCTGACCAGTCTACTCAGATGAGAAATGCAATATTTCAACACCGGATGGTATTAGACTATTTATTAGCAGAAGAAGGGGGGGTGTGTAGAAAATTGAATGACTCAAACTGCTGTTTGCAAATAGATGACAATGGAAAAGTGGTAAAACAAATAACAAAAGGAATAAGAAAGTTAGCCCATGTACCAGTCCAAACATGGAAAGGATGGGAATGGGACATGTTTTCATGGTTACCTGGTGGCCTATGGGTCAAACAAATGCTTTTTTTCCTCTCATGTGTTGTAGCAACCCTAATCTTTTTACCATGCATGATCCCTTGCTTAATACAACTTATTCAACATGTGATCAAAAGAATGCAGGTAGTAGCCGTGCCTACTGACCCAGAGATGGCTACAAAAGGGCAGAAAGTAATGCCACTGCAAATAATTGCAAAGCCAAAAAAGACACAAGAACAAGAAATTAGGTCAATGATAACTAAGGTTTGTAAAGACAATTATTAACAAAACTTAAAAGAGGAGGGATTGAGAGGAATGATGAGTTTGTCTTTACAAACAAGCTGTGGGTCAGTTGATAAGATGCAGCTATCAGTGAGAGACGACAGAAACAATGGGATGGATTCCAGTAGAAGATCAAAGAGGCACTGAAAGAACACTATGAATTCCATAAAAGTTAAGAAGGGATTATGCATTGGGGGTGGGGGGGGGAAGGTACCCCAGGTGTCAGGCGTTCCGGGAAGCCTGTACCTCTCAAGTACCTCAGCCTATGGGGAAAGAGAGAAGGGACAAGCGGCCGGGAATTAGGATAAAAAGGAGGCTGCGTCCTCCAAAAATTTGAGAGACCCCAGGGGAATGCCCCGTGGCCTCTCCCTTTATTCGAATAAAGAAAAAGGACTCCTCTGTCTCCTTTTTGGACATAAACCTCTGGTGTTCGTGGATTAATTTTCCTGACACTATCCTCAGATCTCTGCCTGAGAGCCCCTTGATTTCAGAATTATAGTAATTCGGACGGAGGGGTCTACCTTTTTCATTCCGAGGGAGGCTCCTGCTCTCCCTAGCAGACACCTGTCTCCCAAAACCGAGACAACCTTAACAGAGTTACAGTGACATATTCTGAAATTATCAATATACTTGGCTTACTTAAAACTTTGACCTTATCACTAATTCCTATAATAAAGGGAAAATACTTGTGCATATCTCAGAAAAATTAGTTAAAGATTATTTTAACACAGGCCTGAAATTCAGTTTACTTATGTGGAGCACAACACAGGCAGAGAACTTAATTCTGACGTCACGTGGGATTATGCTGCACATTTCATTAAATTCATTACTGACATCTACAGGACTTGGGCAGGTTCATACCTCACCTGGGAAACTACTTGGGTGTCACTTCTCAGCTTGTCACCTTCCAGCTTCTGTCACACAATACATGGAGAAGAGAAGGACTCAGTGTAACCCATTGCTGCCTTTCAGTGCCTGAAGGCAGACTACAGGAAAGATGGAGAGAGAGATACTATTGATAAGGGATGTAGTGTAGGACAAGGGGGAATGGCTTCACACTGACAGAGGGCAGGGTTAGATGGGATATTCGGAAGAAGTTTTTCCCTGTGAGGGTGGTGAGGCTGTGGCACTTGTTTCCCAGAAAAGCTGTGGCTGCCCCATCCGTGAAAATGTCCAAGGCCAGGTTGGACAGGGCTTGGAGCAACCTGGGATAGTGGAAGGTGCTCCTGCCCATGGCAAGAGGGTGCAAATGGGTGAGCTTTGAGGTCCTTCAAATCCAAACCATTCCACAATTCTACAACTAAATAGATCCTTTCTGGTCTTTACATATTCTGAGTGATAGAACCATATAGTCCCTAAAAGCTAAAAAATAGTTCCAAAAATCAATACAAGTCTGTTACTTCATATGGAAAAAGTGTCTGCTTTTGTTTCTGTTTGGCAAAAAAAGAGTTAAGGCCTGATGCTGAATCCTTTGTGCTGGGAAGTTCCTGGATTGTGCCATTCTCACTGCTAGCCCAGGTGGGAAACTTCAGGGACTGTTTCTGATTATAAGAAGGATCATGAAAAAGATAATTTTGTTCCAGAGTGGCCGGTCCATTTATATCTCTTTTACTGAAAGGCATACAAAAACACTCATATTCTCACAGGAAACAGGCCTCCCTGCCTTTTTGTTTTCCAGGAGGAAATGTGAGGAGTCAGATGAAAGGATTTCCTAAATAGCATGAAGTGCTGGTTTGGTACTGGCCACAGACTCCCTTGTTATCAGTGACAGCCTCTTGGTCCCTCGTTGCAGAGCACATGGAAAATCAGCTGCTGATTTGCAGGTAAGACCTAGGGATTTCCTTCTTGCAAAATGTCTGTGAATTAAAATTTCAGCACTAATTTACATTTCCCATTGAAAAGTTGAAGTGAAATTAAGGGAAGCTGGCAGAAGATGGTGAAATTTAATAGAAGTTTTCTATTTTTAAAGGAAATTGCCTAAAGCAGCCATTTATCTTCTTGTTTAAATCACTTCATCTTTCATTAAAAAGAAAGTTTCCCTGCAGCTATTTCTACCCTTAAAATTTAGTCAGGAAGAGAGGAAGAGGAAAGAATACTTTTAATCTCCTTGTTAAGTGCTTCCTCAAGTTATTCAGAGTCTTCCAGGCTTCTCTTCTTGGAGATACAGGAAGAGTAGGAGTGAGGAAAGCAATCAGAAATCAACATTTTTGCATGCAAATCTTACAGAACAAAACAGAACTGAAATTCATACTAAATATAGGACATAATACCAAAATACAGGCATATCTTTCAAATTTCTGAGTGTGTTCCAAATCAAGTAATACCTTGGGATATTTGGAAAGATGAAACAAATATTTTTAAAAGTACACTGTAAATAGTGCTTGTGGCAATGGTAGATAAATGTTTAAAAGCTTCCCTGTGCAGTCCACCGAGTGCAAGGTATCAGGTATTTAAAAATGTATTTAAGGTTTTAAGTGCTGGTTTTTACAGAGGTGAAAATATTAAGCTACCAAAACTAAATAAAACAACCCAAGTGCCAAGAGCTGCTTTTCAGGATAGAGGCTTGAAGGATACCCACTTACCCTCTTTCTAACAGTTTAATTCTCATATTCCCCACATCACACATTTATTTTTGAATCCTCCTAATTATAGTTCCAATTAATAAAATACTGCCTTGGCTTTGCTGTTGGATCAACCCAGGTTAACCTGCTCTGGGCTTTTTTATTTTCCAGTGAACTGTGTAAGGAACAAAGTATTACACCTGTCAGTTCATTTCCGAACTGGTGGCCTAGTTCTTCAAAAATAAACATCATCTGTAAAGACTAAAGAATTAAAAAACTCCCCACTCCATCTATACTTCACGTGGAAAGGAGGAAATTCTTTGATTCTAGTCTTAAAGGGTAAAAACACAGTATAAAATATTCTTATATATTGAACACCCAATTTTTATTGCAGACCATACTTCTACCTGACTCTCTCAACCTCACTATACAGCCCACTGGGTTTAAATAAACTTGTGTATTGTAATATTTTAAGGCCTTTCTATGTGAAAAGCGTAATGTGGGAAGTGGGGATCAGACTTGGTCCTATTAAGAAACAAAACGTGGGAGTTTCAGATTTCAGACCAGGTGTTTCAAAAATCATCTCCCTGTATGTCAGCTGTGTTTTCTTTCTGACAGGCATATTCCTAGCAGAAAACCTTGTATGGACTGCTCAGTATTCTTAAACTTATTAGGGGGAGGACGCACTCACAGCTTGAATGGAGGTTCCAGCCCTCAAGTCATAGAGTCCATCTGGTTCTAGATCTTTGCAAATAAAATTGTATTATTCTTGCAATCAAAACAGTGTAGGAAGGGGAACAGATCTACACCTCCACCTCTGGCTGGAGGTTCATTTGTTAGCAAAGAAGGCAAATTTCTGCAGTGACCAGATAAACTGTTCAGATCCTAGACAGAACTATTTCTCTGTGCTCAGTGTAACAGTGTTCCTGAACAAAGTGAGGTGGAACAATGTGCTGAGCTTGCTATTAGTCACCAAATCTCAAGGTTGCCTGCGTCGTTTGGTCTGAGGACAAGAGAGACAAAGAGGAGACTACAGAAACAAGTTCTCTGAATGACTAAAAACAACCTGTCCCTTTTGTGTCTCAAAACCCATCTCCAAATACTCAAGTTAGAGAACAGCAGCAATAATAATAATAATAATAATAATAATAATAATAATAATAATAATAATAATAATAATAATAATAATCTCTCTTAAAATCTTCTGTAACTCATTAAATGTCTGCTTCCTTCCAGCAGCTGCCTAAACAGCACTATGGGCACTGTTTGGAGGAGACCCTGCCCTGGCTCAAGCCCCTCGCAGACCTGGCAGCATCCTCAGCCATCCAAGGATGGTCTCTGCAGTGTTGGTGCAACCTTCCATGCACCCCTGGAGCAGCAGGGGGCTCCCTGAGGCCCTGACACATGGCCATGGCTCTGCTGGTGGCAGTGGCACAAATGCTGCTGCTTCTGGGTCTGGCTGGGGAGTCCCAGTGCTTCTGCTTGCCCACTGCCTTCTACAAGAATTGCTGGATCCGGCGCTTTCCAGGCCTCCTTGTGGACCTGCGGGAATCTCAGAGGAGGGGAGCCCAGCTGCTGAAGGGTTATGCAGAAATCTCCCCCCAACAGTGCAGCAGAACCTGCTGCCTTCTGAGGAACAGTGAGTACTTGTTGGCAAGATCGTGGCACACATTAAACCCCCCATTTTGGGTAATGTTTATATAAACAGTCCTTCACTTGAAGAAGAAATAGAGGGGGTGGAAGCAGGATCTATAAATTTTTTTGAGGCAGGAAAGCAGAGGCACATTGTAACTGTTGTCCTGTAGAAAGGAAATTCTGTAATTAATAATAATTATCTGTGATTAATGATAATCTGTATTTGTTTAGAAGGCTACACTAGGAACACATTAAAATCTTAGACTCTCCTTTGAAATTTTAGATCTCTGTTACAAAGCTTGTAGGCAATACCAACATTAAGAGAGTAACTCTTCAGTATTCATCCCCAGCTACTGTAGAAAACAACCAGTGACAGTGATTCTAACAGCACTCTCTTCATGGAGTACATGGTGAGAGGGAGAGTGGAGGGGACACACAGTTTGTCCTTCTCTGAAATACAAGAATATTCAGTTCCTTGGAGAAAGCACTCTCTCATTTTGTATTTATACCATGCAAACCAGGTAACACTAAAGTTATAGCAATAAATAATAGCAGTTATTCAGCTGTCCATGCCTTTTCTCTAGCCTAGTAAACTCAGGCTCAGAGAAAAAAGAAACAAAATCATTTTTTGTCCTAAGCCTTGTACTTTCTTTGTATCACACTGCACTGGTACTCTACAGGAATATATTTTAGAAGGACACATGAATTGCATGTCTGTGGTGCCTAAATTTTCAAAACTCTCCAGACAGGAAAAGGGTTTGGATATGTTTTGGGAGGATGAAAGTGAAATACCAGTTACTAAAAGAGTGAATATAAATTTTGATGATATTTTGAATTAAGAGTAAAAATATCTTCAAAAAACTTCACAATCTGGCAGTGTCATAAGTAACTTCCAGCAGCAATCCTGGGAAGAGTCAAATTCTGTCTTAAATAATGCGAGGTGAGAAAAATTACATATATTTCAGCAAGGATGTTCCTACCTCAACAATAAACTTCTTCTCATATCCCCCATATGGGACTGGATACTTAAAAAGCTAATAAATGGTAACCTGAAATCTCCTTTTTATATCAAACAAAATTTGTTACTATCTTAACTAAAACTGAGACATTAGAGGGCTTGTCAAAGGGCTTTAAATCACTTATTATTTAATGAGATACAGAAGTAGAACTCATATGGCTGTTCTAGTCCAGATGTAAAATAAAAATCTCTTTTGACTGTATTCTCAATTAGTTCATATGATAAAGAGAGAACCACAGGATCTGGTCTCTCGTCCCACAGGATCTGGGCAAATATAATGAACTTCTCATGTTAAATAACATCATAACATGCAAAATGCAATGGTCATTGTGCTGGGAAGCTCAGCTTTATTCTTTATGGGTTCCAGTCTCTTGCAATCTAGCAGTGTTCTACCATGGAGCCATTCATGAGAACAGGAACTGTCTGCACATGTCTTGCCCAGCTTTGGAAAGCTGCATTCTAAGGGCTGGAGTTGATGTCATTTTGTACAACATCACAACAGGTAATTAAGCATTTAATTTATAATGGCTGAAAACAGAGCAGTATTAGGAAGTTTTAAAATTGATACCAGGTCAGCTGCTGTGCTAAATGACCTCCTGAAGTAACACACAACCCTAAAAAATTGGAGACTCAATGCCTTTTTCATTAATATACCTACTTCTGAAAATAATTCCCCCCTTTTTTCCATTCAATGAGAAAGGAGCTTGAAGATACACACAGCTCTCAAGATTCATGCTCTGAGTACCTCATCAGTACTGTGCTTGGCCAAAATACCCTCCCACCTCTGAGAGACTGAGAGGAGGCTGCCACTGTTCCATGTCCCCAGACCCAAGCAGTAACAAGACCGAACATTTATTTTCATTAGGCACACGCACCATGAGCACACAGGTAACAGAGCCAAACACATAAATTGAACACACCAACACAGGGAGCACCAAAAGCCTTATCCTGCTTTTGTGTTAGTGAAAATATATAAATATGTGTATATATACACACACATATATATGATGCAAAGTCCCCAGCAGCCAGGCTGAGATGTTCTCAGTCTTCCCAGTCTGGACCTCAGGGTGCCCAGTCTGGACTCCAGTCTCAACAGTTGCTGGGATGTTTGAGCCTCTAGGGTGCAGCTTCCCTCCAGTTGCTGCTGCGGACTGTCACACACACATAGCTTTCCTGGATTTCCCTACCCTTGATGGCCTAGATACCACCCTTTCCTCACCTTTGATTCCTTCCCTAAGCATCCCATAGTAAGTCATGTGCAATCCCAAAACGCACATCCCTTGCAGTCCATAAGATATCACATAACCCAAGGCAGTGACATGTCCAATCCAAAAGGGCATTATCTGGGCTCTCTGCCCTGCCTCTGTCTCCATGGATCCTTTTTGTGGGCGTGCAGACAAGCTTTTATCAATAAACTAACATTATCCTCATTTACTAGGGATTGATCCAGATCTTCTCATTTTTGAGAAACTGAAATACCAAGAGCCAAATGCTCACTCCTCAGCGAGTACATCTGAGAGGCAGCAGAGCACAAATACCCCTGAGTGGGGAAGATGCCAACATCACAATGTCACCACATCAGGTTCTCCTCTGCTCCGAGCTCCACCTGCTGCCACGAGCCGTGGCTTACCAGGAAACACTCACACCCCCACCTGGAGTCTGACAGTGCGGAGAACTGAGGGTACTGCCTATTCCAGGGCAGAAACTTCCCCGGTAGACGTTGCTTTTGCTAGGAGAATAAGCAGCAGGTCGGTCACCAGCTCAGACAAGACTGCACATTCGGCTATGAGCCCCAAGCCTGACAAGGTGTTATCCCATGCACCCACCCCTCCTCGTCTGAACAGCAGCAAGCAACACCTCAATGAAACCAAAGGCTACAGTGGGAGGAATTCCACGTTGGGTAACGAGGCAGCTGCCTGGGAAGTTGCAGCTTTGGGGGTCTGGCTGATTCCTGTTGTCCTTTGCTCTTCTCTCCTCTGCCTGTGCTGTTGCACTGTTGCCCTCACAGCCGAGAGCTGCAGCTACAGGAGGGGTCATTATAAACCTGTAAGGACAAGAACAAGAATGTCAAGACAGCTCATAAAATATGCTCCTGACAGAGGTAATCTGTGAAACACCATCCTGGCTCTGGAACAAACAGGATTTTAAAAATGCACTCCATACACCGGCTTACTTCTCTCACAGAGAATAACAAGTGATAACAGTTCAGAATATTTGGTTATGATTTAATTCTCAGCAGATGAAGCACAACTCCCTGTCTCTTTAGGTAGGAAGCACCCACTCACAGCTCCCACTGTTTGAAGTATTTTGGTTCATTATCTGATGCAGATTAATGCCTGACAAACACTGTAACACTTCCGCTCAGGTTCAGTGCAGATACAGCATTGGCATGTCTGTGTGACAGAGAATTATTTAGCTGGATGAGAAATCCTGCTATAGTTATCTTTGTGCTTGTGTATTTGCTACCAAATGAATAAACATCCCATGTAATGCAGGAGTACACAAGTGACTTACAAAATGGTCTTTTTGTTTGAAATGGTCAAAATGATTATGTTTTCTCCCAAAGAAAGACTAAGCCTAAACTGAGAGAAGTACCTAGTAAAGAATTAGGTCTGTACCTTCTGATGCCTTTCTTCAAGCTGAGTACAGTGGTTAAAATTCTGCTTGTGTCCACTGTATAGTCTTGAGTGCTGCCAAGAAGGCAATTCAAACTTCAGGACATTGCAGCACTACATTCCAAAAATAATTTCTCCAGAAAATTTGGGAATATACTAAAACTATTATTGCTCCATAATTGCATGTAGTTTTTAGGATACAGAATTCATATGCAGGTATCTTAATCTAATTTAGATTAGAAGAATTATCTTTTCTTGACTTAAACATTACCCCATAGTTTCAGCTGGATAATGTGTTTCAATTTTCTTACCCTAGGGTTTTGCCAAGCATTGCTGAATATTTTGTTATCTTCAATCGCACAGTTCATGTTCTAATTAGTTGTTTCATATTAGGGATTTTTACTGGAATACCAATTTATTTTTTATTTTTGAAGACAGGAGAGCACTTAAAGCCTTCTCCCTATTTCACAAAGATTTGCAGTTTGAGGCAGCAATATGGTAACACAATGCCCCTCACTTGTTAATTTATAATGCTACAGAGAATGCATTATTTATTTAAGTCATGATTTAATCATGCATCAGGGATAGGGGAAGATGCTTAAATCCATAACGTATATATTTATGGTCTGTTGCTGAACTTGCAGCCACAAAAGCCTGTCTAGGGAACTCAGTTCTTACAGTATCAGCATGGAAACAAATTGTGAATGTTGGCCATCACCTTCCTCCTCTGTACCATTAAGATATTACTGTTCTCAGATAAATATTACAGAGTTCAGCTGAAAACTGACAGGTTCTATCATATTGTAATCCCTTCCTTACCTGAGACTTGCATTAACTTCATGTCCCCAAGTCCTTAAGTGTCCATTCTTCCAGTTCAGGCTGAGCTGTGCCCTGAGCTCCCCATAAAGCATCTGTTGACAGCAAAATCAGAAGTGCTTCCAGCTCATCTGTACTATCAGTGACCATCCAGAACAGTTTGTGTCAAGGACAAAAAAGAAGAAAACCTCATCTTATGGGGTGGATACAGCTGTAAGGTTTTTTTAAATAGAGCAAGTCATAGGTAGTTAACCACTTGCTTTCAAAAAGGAGGGTTTTCACCTCCCTTCACTTTCAGAAAAATTACTCCTTGCCTGCAGTAAGCCACAGTCATTCCTGGTTCCCTGTCTTTTTCATCTCCAGATTAGTGACCATAGAGTGCACTTCAGAGCACCTTGATGCTCTGTTGAGTCTTACTCTCAATATGATGTTCTGGAGAAGAATCATATAATGCAACTGGAACCTCCATTCTCATCAGAAAAAGATGTAGGAGACAAAGTGAAAATTTCTATCTGTCCCATGAGCAAATGCTTCTGGGACAGCAGGGAATGATTAAAAATTATGTTCTGAAGAGATTTCTTGGTTTGTTGACAGAGAGAGGGCAAAAAAATTGGCACAAAAAGGATTATATGAGACACAATAGCAGAGCTATTTTATTACAGACTAAGAGAGTCACAAGAAAATAAATACATTTTATGTATGAGGAAAAGCAAGAAATGGGTAACAAGATGATTTGTTCAAACAGCACATCTCTTTTTATGTAACTGTCCCTTTATCCCTTCCTTGTGCTTGCAGAAACCTTATTCCTGGAAACACGGGGAAAAAAAATGTCCACTCTTTGGAATGTTTATATGTGGGATGAAAGGAAAGTTCCCAAAGGTGTGCACAGAGGGATGTACGCCTCAGTAATTTAAATTTTAATGTACATGATGAATGAATAAGTAACCAGTGCTAAAGATGAATTTATTGTGCTGCAGAGCTGCTTTAACCTGTAATTTTCTTAATCTCTAACTTGTCGGTTTTTAAACTTCAGCACAGGATTCCAGAGAGATGGAAGATGCAAAAGGATTCTATAGTAAAATAGACATGTATAGTTCACTTCTTAAAAATATGTGCTGTATTTTACATCCTTGAGGTTGAGAAGACTCCTACAGAGGTAAAGATCCCAGTGTTCCAGGTGTTCTGCAGTCACACTATCAAATACTAACAGTTTAGAGGGAGAAGCAGAAAAGCAGAGAGGAATATCCAAGAGCTCAAAATAGCATCCAAGCTGCCTTTTGTCCTGCTCACTGCATTACACAGGTTCTGTACTGCAACATAGAAACCATCAGTAAAAATCACAAGTGTAAATTTGAGTTTTATCCCAACATTGTCCAGTAGGTATCATCTGTTTTTGGGAGAGACACTTTGTGCTCAAGAGACAGTCACCTTAAATCCTGCCTGTATTACCTGAAACGTTTATAGTATGTACATAAGTTAGGCTTGAACAATTCAGAGTGAGCTGGTAAAGCCTGTGCATTTTAGGTTTTCCATCAATTAGCTGTGGAGCTAATGAAAAAAATCAAATTACCCTTGCTGTGCTGTTCTTTCTACCAGACATTATTATTGGTAAGGTCAAAATGTTGTTTCAGGCGTGGTTTCTAGAGTTCTGCTTTTGTCCATTCTGTGAAAAGCAAAGGAATTCTGCTGCAGAGAATTTTCTCAAGTGCTCACATGTCCTGAGTACAGAAGGACAGCTCTGTGGAGAAAAGCAAACTTATGGGGTTTGGGGTTTCTTAAGACATTTCAGGGCCTTGCTCCTGCTAGCCTTGTATACAGCACTGGCTCCCCAGGTGGCTCCTAGGGCAGCCCTTTGTCAGCAGGCACTGACAAAGCTAATTAAGCAAACAGAATTCTCCTGTGCACATACTAGAACCAAACTGCCTCTGGAACAGAGCCAGGCACAGCTCCAGGCACCAGCCATACCATTCTCTCCAGTCAAACTGCACTTACTTCCTCAGTCGTTTCAGTTTCATGGCTGTTCAGAAAAGATTTAGAATTACAGATGTTCCCATTTCAAATGGGAATTTTAAACACTATACTCATTGTCCCTGGATAAAGAAGCAGCCTGATAACAGCTGAAACTTTCCCCATATTAAGCTTCTGCTAAAACTTTACATTAATACACATCCAAAAGGAAGGACTACTAAAGAACCAAGTCAGTCAGTGCAAAATTGGGATTACAGGACAAACATTTTCAGTCTTAGCTACAGCTCTGGTAAATTCTCGTAGGAATTAAATGCTGCATTAAACTCGGTCTCTCACCATATGAAAACAACCTTGACCTAGGAAGAATCCTTCCTAAACTCACAGTGTTTTGGCAGTGGGAACAGATCCACTCCTTGACTGTATGTACACACAGAGCACACAGTGAGAAATTCTAGCAGAGTGAGTTCAGCACACAGAATGCTGCAGGAATCAATTCCCCTCAGCTTTCAATGTTCTTATTCTTACACTGCTTATTTTCAACGAGCTGCTGGCAGGGTCACATGGTCAGCTCTTTTATAGGTATGTAGAATCCTTAACTGCCTCTGCCCCTTCTAGAGAATGACTCTCTCCAAGTTGAAATCTCACTAAGCCAGGAAGGTACAATAAAAGCAAGAATTATTTATGTTCTTTCAAGGTTTGGTAGGGTTTTTTTTTCCTTAATTGTGAGAAAGCAATAAAATTGTCATTCCAGTGTTTTAAATCAATTTCTTTCAATTACAAATTACCTAATATATGATAAACATAGATATAATTCTTTCTCTGTGCTACACAGGATGCTAAAAAGTTTTTTCTTTCCTTGAAAAGTCTGGGTACTTTCAAGAGAAGTCAGCAGGTAACAGCAGTCAGAGGGTAACAAGGCTCAGTCCACTCCTATTTAGTTACAAACCCATCTCACCAACTCTCATCCTTCCTGTCCCAGGTACTCTGAGATCTTCTCAACAACTGCTGCTTCACCTTCCCACTACCATCTCATTTTCCACCTTATTTTACTCCATTATTTTAGACACAGGTGCTTTTACACGGGATATTTGTTTGCCCTCACAATAACAACTGAAAACCTCAACTGTCCAGAGTGCTTCAACACCTCTTCAAATCAGCAACATTAAGCAACATTACCCTAATTTTACACATAGGGAAAAATCTGAATGGCATTTAAAAAGCATTTAGAGCTCTTAATTTTCAGACTTCTAATTAATGGAACTGGAAGCCTAACTAATTTCATTAGTTTTGATATTGTTGCTCTAGGTTAAAGGCCCAAAAAGTGTGAGAATCAGAATGTGATTAAGAACAGTGGACTGAACCAGGATCTCCCATGCTAACAAAACACAGAATAAAACATTCCAGTTACCAGTATGAATCCAAACATACTTTATTCAATGGAAAAGATTAATGGATAGGACTTAACTCATCATCAAGTTTCATTTTTTTGCTTCAGGTTCTGAATAATTATACATCCATATCATTAAGACATACTAATACAGTAGTTGAACATGTCTGTAACGATTAGGTATACCTGCAGACTCTGCTCTCATGCTTGTATATTCAACAATTTCTTCACCGATTCCTTGTACTGAGACATGTTACTTTCTGTTTCACCGTTGTTTTTAAGTGCAATGACTGAGTTTCTGTATTTCTTAACCACTTCAGATGCCAGCAGCTCCTCCTTAGTGACATTACTGACATTCTCTGAGGCTTTTATTTGAAGCAGTGTGTCCAAGGCATTTTTCTGAGAGTGACTGTTTTCCCAGATATACTCTTCCATGTCTTCCTCAGACTTCTCGCTCTCCCACTTCTCAGTTTTCTGAAAGAAAATACACAACCTGAAAAACTACCCAAGACTGAAACAAAGCAACAATAATTTGAAGAAATTGATCTCTCAGAGCAATTCTCTTCAAAAACTGCATTCATGGTGGAAGGTATTTCCTCCTTTAGAGTCCGAGGCTTGTAACTCAAGCATGTATGAGCAGGATGAGCTCCTTTCTCCCACTCATCAGGTTCTTTATGTATCTGGCAGATACAACTGGGTGAGTCAGAGTGGGAGGAAAAGCTTATGGCCTATATATAATAACTAAAAACCTTGCAAAGGTAGTAATTTTAAAGAGCCCTCAACACTGCAGTTCTGGAAGCAGCCACCCAGCTCCTATCTCCCTAGCACAGGGTTCTGCTCTGGCTACACTGGCTGGTGGAGGGAAAGTGAGACAGTGCCTAATGAGTAACCCACGATGTGACTCACAAAGAAAAGCACCACCAACAAATCCATTTCTTCTTCCTACAAAATAAATTGCTCAATAGAATATCTCTCCACAAGGTGCTGGTATTTACTTAATTAGACAGGATCACAAGCTGGGCACTGACAGAAGACACCATCCAAATGCCTGCAAATACACTTGTTCTGTATTAATTGTCTTTCAACATTTCTCCAGGCCTTGAAAGAACCTTTAAGGAATATTTCAAATGTTGTAACCTGCTATTTTTTTTATTGTATTTTGATAAATACAGATGCTTCAGTGATATATTTGCATTTTCATACATTGCAGGCTGTATGTTTGAGTATTTACAATCATTTAGTACTTTACTAATGTAACCAGTATGTCGTATCTTTGTATTACCTCACCTATGTAAGAATCACAATTTGAAATACTTTGGGTTTAGTTTTACTATTCATGTTTTTCTTAGAATTGTTATAAAATCATGTATAAATAAAACTTGCATTTCTCTGGAAATACATTCAAAGAAACCTTACAGTAAAGCCTCTAATCATACAGATTTTGTCTTTTTTTAAAATCATTTGCAAAAAAGGGCTCTTCAGTAAATTTTTAGCTGTGCTATGCATAACCAAAAAAAACCTCTTGCAAGTTGGGGAGGAGGGTTTTTTGTTGTTGTTTGGTTGATGGTTGTTTTTGGTTTTTGGGGTTTTTTTTCTGTGAAGGTGGTACAGTGGGGTGTGTGTTGGTATTGTTTTTCATTTGTTTATTTAAAGGTTATTCTTTCCACTAAGAATCAAGGCTGCTGCAGTCAAACCACAGTATTCAATAACCTTTAATTAAGCTCCAATAGTTTTTTTCACCCTGCAACTCTTGTGTGGCTGGATTCCTCTATCTGAATTTAAAACACTTTCCCAACTGCTGTGTCCTGAACCTGGTAAATGGCATCTCTTGTCTTTTGAGTCTGAGTCCAAATCAGAAGAAGCAATTCACACTGCTCAAAGGTTCATATGACTACATTAAACCCTGGACACAATTAAACCACAGGAGTAAAAGGATCTCATTCATTTTCTGGAGGGGAAAAACAGGAACAAAAGGACATCCTGTAGCCCTGTTCTGCTGAAATATTAATGGAATAAGTGGGCACAGTGAAGTGTTCCTTGTCTGTTTGACAAGCCCTGCAATCCAGGGTGTAGATTTAGAGTTTTAAATTAACAGCATTATCCTGCTTTACACATCCCTTGGTTATCTGCAGAGTGTTTATGCAAGACATTTTTTCCCCTGAACTACAACAGAATTTTCAAGCCAAAGCCTCTCTCACAGGGATATGGTTTCTCAGGAGTAAGGGAATATGGGTATCACTCCTGGCCACTCCCTGGACCAAATTAATATCTGAAGTTCAAACAAAAGATCCCTGTGAGGCTTTTAAACACCTCTAAGTCATAGCAGAGACTACAAGGACCAATGACAGTATCACATTTATCTCTTCAGGAAAATCCTTCTCTGCACACAGCAACTTACAGGATTTTGGAGATGCACGCTGATGAACAGATTAAAATTTACCTACCTCTTGTAAGCAATACAAAGCAAGATTTTAAAGCAACTGTTGAGTATTTCTTTCTAGGAATCCTTCCCAACAGAATGATGCCAACATGGATTTTAAAATAAAATCTGACTGTGTGGTGGGAGGTGAGGGTGAAGGCAGAAAGGGATTTGACAGTAGGAGAGATTTCCAAATCCATTAGTTTTTGCAAACTAACTGTATCCAGTGAAACTTAAGATACTTTTCAACAAGAATTACTGCAAGGGAAAAGTGACTGCGGAATTATATAAACAACTGGAAATGTATTCTAGGTAGACAAGCACCATGGACTCTGAACAGTGGAAATGTTACATGTGTTACAGACTCATAAGTGTTATGGATAAAATTAATAAGAACAATTAAATAAAGTTCAAAAATTAAGTCTTTATCATTCAAATTTCATCAGTTGAATTATTTTTGTCCCCTACAGATTTAGCAAGTTAGTGAACACTACAATCTTAAAAATGAGAATAAAACTGTGGAATCCGTGTGGAGAAGTAGAATCCAAGCGTGATATTGTGTAATGTTTTTCTTAGAATCCCCACTTTGTGAACCAGGTTGAAAATAAGAATTCACTAAAAATGGATTCCTCATTCTGTCACACAAAGACAGAATCTCAGTATTATCCAGCTTGGCTAAAGATGTGCTCGGCTGATACTTTCAACCTTTTCCTCTTAAAAGACTTAAAATAGGAATCAAAAAAACACAAACCAAAACAACAGAAAACAATTTTCCATATAAAGTCAAAGATCTAAACCTATGACTAAAGAGGCATAGAAAGACTATTTTTTCACTTCCTAATGCAAATATAAAGAATTATTTTTTCAATGCCATAAACATATGATTTCTTTCTAAGAAAATCTTTTATGCTACAATTTAAGCCAGTACATTGGGAGATTTACAAGCCTATACAGTGCTTATCTGAATTCTGAAAGTACGAATGCTAAAATAGACTTTGGACAGTGAAGTCGCCTTTTACATGTGAGCCATTAATAAAAAGCTTCACTTTATATGGTACCTTAAAGTAGAGAAGAAAGAAAAGAATTTGGGATCTCTTAAGCAGGTATTTCACCATCAATGTGCTTGGGATTTTTTCTGCCTGTTCAACTCGCAGTTTTGCTGCTGCAGTGATACAGAGGCTTAAAATTGTCAGTTCCCCCATCTTCCTTTTGGGAAAAACATTTTAACAGAAATTTCTCTAGTGGCATTTAGAAATGTTGAGGGCAATTAAAAACATGACTCATGTTGGTTAATTTTCTTTTCAATAGTTTGAACAGTGAAGTATTTAATGCTGTTTAGCAAATATCAGGTATTTTAAAAGGATTATTTTTGAGGGGAAGGAAAATTCCTTAAATGGCATGTTAAATTTCAAAGTCTGTATCGTCTGAAATAAATATACTTTGTACTGCATTGAAATAAAAGATGCTCTGTGTGGTACAATGATCTTAGATTTTCAGCTAATAAATGACAGCTATGCTAACATTTTCCAAATTACTGGGAGCCTTCAATCTTAAGTGCTTATCTTTTTGGATATAATACACCTTTAATCTGTACTATTTAATTAGCAACTTAGAGATATCAATAGGAGTTTGTAGAAAGTCAAAACCTATTTGTATCATATGAGGTTGGATACAGAAATTGTAATTACTTGTTGATGTGCAGTAAGTTAAAATCCATTGTTCTGAATAAGCAGAACTGTATTTTCTAGGACACAGCACTGGCACAGGGCTGGTAGGACTTCTAGAGGGTCAAGAGAAAACCAAGACTAAAGGAGGACTAAAATTCCAGTGAGGTACAAATATGTAACAAAAAAGGATAACAAGCAGAGAAACAAAACAGAACTCTTCCCCAAATACTAATACTGCATAAGAGATGCTCTCATAATTAATGATGCGCTCATAATTAATGATGCTCCCAAGTTTACTCTCTGGCTCTGTAACTAACTTGGGAAAGTTGCCATCAGCCTCTTTCAAAACTAAGGACAACATCTAATTTCTCTAGGCAAGAGTGGCTGCATGCATTTTCTGGAAAATCCAGGTTTCTGAAAGGGTCATTTGTAAGGTAAATACCTTAATAAATATAAAAATATTTTTTTTAAAAAAAATCTACCTCAGTTTGCCTTCTGAAGGTTGACCAAATAAGATTTTGATCTCATCAAGACAGATCAGTGATATTAAAAATCCAAGTCTGTTGATTTTCTGTTCACTTTTTTTATGAATGTCTATGCCCCATGAGACTTCATTTCACTCCAACACAGACTGAAAACTGAACAGCTGCAAAAACTGTATTTATGCATCAATGAGGAGCCTTGTTTCTCCAGCAACAAGAAACATGGAGCTAAAACACAAGGTATTGCAAGAAGCTTACTATAGTCAGAAATATTACGAAGACAATTCCTAATTCAGCCTTATGCTGGAATGCTCATCCTTTTTGGTTCCAAGAAGTACAAAAAAAGGCGTAACCTTCTATTAAAATACACATTTCCTGTCAAAAGAGCTCCTTCCCTTGATTTTAAATGTGTAAGTTCAGAGAAAATTTATGAAATTTAACATCTACTGTAAAGCCACTTTATCTTAACCTTTTCTGGTTCCCATTACTGATGAAGACTCTCTCAGCTGTCTGATTCTGGTGAGCACGCAATGGAATTAATTTTTCAAAACAAAGGACATATTCAAACATTTA